TTTCCAAGGCAACAGCTGCTCATCCTGCGACATTTCTAGCCTGGAAGAGCAGGTTTCAGTAGTCCTGAAGAAGTATGAGCTACCTGTGCTCTTGGTAAAGACTATCAGCCTAAAGGTCAATCCTCAAAATATAGCTGAAGAAAAGTTCTCCATCAGCATTACAGTCTCCTCTTTTTAGCTAAAAGAATCACTTTGCCATGTGACTGTAGGTGTTTCACACAGCTTTTAGTGGAAAAATGGTTCTTTCTTCCATGGCTTTTGAGACATCAGCAACTTGTCTAGTTTGCTGATAGGGAGTTTTGTCCTCTAGGATCCTCTTTGAAAAAAAAAATAAAATATAAGCATGAAAACCTCTGGCTTTTGAGCTCCCAGAAGCACTGAAATGGCAAGGGATTTCAGAAATAATTTCAAATAATTTCAAATGAAATATCACTCAGACTTTTTCAGACCAAAGTTAAAGTAATAACAACAAAAATATTAATAATATTTTATTTCGCTTCTCCCATTTTGAAACAGCGCATTATAGAGCTGTGACATTAATACATGAAAGGCCCTGTGCAGCATCCTGATTTCAAGAAAAGAAACTGAATTGAGAGGGACTATTCAAATAAGCAAGGATTTGTCAGCAGAAGTAGATGTTACACCTTTAGTATCCCATGAAATTGGTTGCACATTACAAGATGCAGATGAATGTATTAATTTTTACTACAGATGAGGTGTGCTATGTGTTCAAGTGACTCCAGGCCAGTTTTTTAACTGATGAAAAAAGATCAGACACTTAGATATTTAAGCAGCAAAGGCTGCAGATAAATTTGTCACATGACTTTCAAAACATATCTGGCATTAAATTAATTTCTTTAAATTTCATTACATTAATTTCCTGCACCTTTAGAGGCTAAAATTTCATTTGAAATCTGTCCTTTTAACATCAATCTGCTGTGTGCCACTGAAGTTCTGAAACAGATGTAAAAGACTTTCTCCACAGAATGGTAATAAGAAACTGAATATAATTAGGAATATTTATCAAAAAAAATTAATTCACACCTTACTTGCCTCCAGTTCTTTCTATACAGCAGATTACATAGCAGTCACTCTTTAAAGTGCAACAACGAATTTAATGTAAATGTATATTTTTCTACCAAATCTCTATCTTATATTGAAAACATAGCAGCTTGAATATAATACAACTATATAATGTGGTAGAGGCTATTCCTTGCTTGAAGCCTAATTGCTGCAATTCTCAGGCAGAACATCCTACCTCAAAGTTTTCTATCAGAACAGTTTAGGAGCTAATTCCCACAAATATTCAGGTAGTGAAAATGTCTTCAGTCAGCCTTCTTTTACAAAGAAAATACGGACTATAAATGCATTTAGAAGTTTAATGACTTTATAGACTGAATCTGTGATCAGAGGACATTCTCACAGTAGATCCCCTTGGCTGGTGCTCATTTTCTGTAAAAAATAAAAATAATTTTGTTTCTTCCTCCTGATCTAAATTTTCATACTGGATGGATGCAAGGCCAGAGGATACATCCCTGGTAACAGTATTCCAAAATTTTTGTGGCTTGGACAGTTTAAACTAAAACTTTATCTGACAGCTCCTTGACAAGCAATTGAGCTCCGGAAGCATTGTTGTGGGATGCTACAGAACGGCCTGGGTTGCAAGAGATCTTAAAGATCATCTAGCTCAAACTCACCTTCCACAGCAGGGACATTTTTCACTACACCAGGTTTCTCAGAGGACCATCCAGCCCAACCAGCCTGGCCCTGAACACTTCCAGGGACGGGACATCCACAATTTCTCTGGGCAAACTGCTCTAGTGCCTCACCACCCTCACTGCAAAGATTTTTTTTTCCTACTGTCTAATCTAAACTTACTCTTTTTCAGTTTGAAGCCATTCCCTGTTGTCCTGTCCCTACATGCTCTTGTAAATAGTTTCTCTCCAACTTTCTTCTAGGCTTCCTTTAGGTATTTGGATCGATTTAATCATTAATCTATATTGGGATTGGTGTTCCCTAGTTACGTGAATGTTACTGGAGTGATTAAATAATATTGCAGCAGAATTTTAAGGGAAAACAAAAATTTCACTCTTCAGAGGATTCTGAGTGAGGCATGGCTGTGGCACTGTGGTATTCTTTCAAAGTCTATCTCTTTAACTGCCAGTACCTCTAGAAAGACAAACTATTCAGAGAGTTAGCCTGGATTTTGGAAGAGCTTTTCCCTACATTTTCTGTGTCACCTCAAGCAACTCAGTCTCTCAAAGTTTCAGATTTCCCACTGTTAACTGGGCATTAAAATAATTTACTTCTCCATAAGGGTGTTGTGATGGTTATCCATTACAGACTGTGCAGTGTTCAGAAACCATGGTCCCAGCATACATAAATTTCTATGATACAACGACCACAAAGCAATGTGTATAAATTGTGTCACAAAATGAAGCTTCTGAAAAGTTTGTACTGCTGTGCAGAAGGACTCACCATGGCAGAACACGATACACCAAGTTCAAAGAGTACAAAAGCAATGAAGGAAAAAAAAAGCCATTTTCAAACACGATTTAATTCACTAGAAGGTAACTTTTTTCACTTATGACTCTTAAAATGTTCCTAAATGTACTTTAAAAAGAGGACAAAAAAGTGAAATGATTGCACAGCACATGCAGACTAAGAATAGGTCTTTTTCTAGCTTCGTGTTCCATAAGGCACTTCACAAGCCTGTGTTTCAGACACAGGGTTTATGTTTAGAAGAAAACCACCATAAATAGTATCAGGGGAGGACAGCAAAGGCTTTTTCAGGAACATCTCATCAGCATCCAGCATGCAGGAGGATGGTGCAGATAAAGTTATATTGGGAAAGGCTCTCTTCCTTGGTCATGTGTGTTTGGTGGTTAAAGGAGTCCTTGGCTCCCTGCCTCTGTTCCATCTCTACACAGAAAAGCTGTGTGCATGCTAGAAAGGGTGATGTGATTATTTGGGTTGGGATTTTTTGTGTTTGTTTGCCCCATGTAAAAATTGGTTCAGCCTAAATCAAAAATTTTGCTTCCCGTAAGTATTTACTGGGTGAAAAGGAAACTATACCTCCATGTCTATCTCACTCTGTAGCCTGTCAATTTTATAAGCTTGTATAATAAAAGATGGCTGAGTTTAAGTCCCTGATCCAATAAATGTTTATGTACAACAGTCTGTAGCAACGCCAACATGAGAGATTTTCATCAACTCACATTCCTAGTTAAAAAATGATCTTGGAATCTGATTAATGTGGGATTAAATCCCCTTAAGTAGAAGACACAAATCCCACAAATCCCAGCTGAATACCTTAAGCAGCAGCCTGAATGGTGAATGGTACATCTCCCATGATGATTTTATGAAGACTATACATTTATTCCATCTGAAACTATTCATTATTGGCTTCAGATTGTTTTTCTTCCCGGGGAGGTGGGGGAAAGCCAGGGAAAATATCAATCTACTCCGAAGTTAAAGTGCCATTTGTACATTCCTTTGAGAGGATGGACTGCAGCTATTTCAGGCCCCTTTTGAGTCCGCATAAATGTGTGTGTATGTATATTTGTTTCTTGTGCATGTTCCAACCTATATTTTGGCATCACAATTTTCCCACAAGAATTGAAGATTATTTTTCAATTACAGCCTTATCAGGAGATTGCAATAACTGGGGAATAAAAAATTCAGGTCCTCATCCCTACAGCTTGTAAGTTTTGATACCCGCATAAATGATTTAATTTTTAGAAGCATTGATCCTCTAATTGCCTCCAACACCTTAAAAATTTTTACCACTACAGATTAAAAGCCTGTGTGCAAAAATACTGGTTTTTGCCTCACAATAAACTTCCAGACTATCAGAAAATACTAGTAAGTATGTTGCAGATGATTTAGGAAATACAAAGATTTTCCAATGGAAGATTTTATGTGAGGAATATAAAAGAAATACATGATATTTCAAAAGAATTACTAACCCTGACAGTTTTGGGAATTTGTGTGTCAAGTCATGAGAGTTCCATAAATACAACCTACTGGCCAGAAGATACTATACTAAAGAGAGTTAAAATCCCAAGATTAGTTTAAACAATTGTTATATATCAGTTGAATCAGAATCATTAACAAAATAGGAGGGCAAAGGAAAAACAAAGATTTTCCATCTGCTGAATTAAACATATTTACAATTGTCTGCTGTGCTGTGAAATAGTGACCAATAAATTTACTTTTAACATAAGAAGGCAGTGTTCTACCTGAACATAATAGTTCATAACAACAAGCACTGCAAATGCCCTTGTATGAAACAAGAGTCAAACCTAACCTTTTAAGCAAATGACTGTGGTATTGCTGATAAATAACAGGTTACATCCACTTATCCATGTCTCTCTTCTTCCCTTTTGGTGGTGACACCAAAGATGGGAGCATCCAGGAATCCTTTTAGGCCTAACAGGCTTCAACTGACCCTTTTAATGCCAATTCTCAGATTTAGATTTGCCAAAATCTGTCTTCCCCAGACTTTAGAAAGTGGAGATTAACTATATAATATTTCCTCCTCTACTGCCTTCAAATATCTCTCGTTTCAAATAAAGGAAGTATATGCATCTGAGGTGGAGCTCTCCCATTCTTCACAATATCTATTAAGTTTTAAATGCTCTCATTTAAAGCATGAAGCTTTTTACTATCAGCTCTTAATTTCACTGAACCAATGTATGAACTGAACACCACCCTTATTTTAAATCCTATTTTCTCACTTTGCCATTTGACTTGCTCTGTGCCTCAAAGCGTTTGGCACTTACTACCACCATATTATAATTTCTGGTTTTTAGCCATGCTACTAAAACAGCTTTATCAAAATTACTAAAGTTTCTATCAAGTTAACAAAAGTAACATTGGTTATCCAAGTGATTTTTAACAAAAAATTAACACAGTTCATATTTTCTGGTTTATTTACTCTATTCTATTTTCCATACTTCAGGTGTAAAAGATTGTGTATATAAGTAAACATAACATACCAAAATCCACAAGCTTGACTCCTCCTTCAGTGGTCAAAAGGATATTATTTCCCTTAATATCACGGTGGATAGTTTTGTTTTCATGCAAGTGCTGAAGTCCCTGCAAGGCAAGATGTAAACATGAACTTTTAACAACAGGTCTGTCCTCCATATTACATTTGCAGAAACAAGGTAGTGGAAAAGTATGAAAAATACTTGAAACTTTTTTTTTAAATCCAAAACCACAGGGTTGTCATTCTTACTGCAAAACCACTTGCCACATGACAAGGAAAAAATATTCTTTCATTGCCCCACTTTATGACAAATAGAAAGTTTATAATGAAAGCAGAAAAATATCACTATAAACCTACATATAATACCTTTAGAGCATAAACTCAAAGAAAACTACTAAGACCTAAATTCCACCAGAGAAAGTAAAATTTATAAGAAAATTATAACTAAAGACAGTTGATCCTAATGAGCAGAACCAAATTCTTGTAGCAGGGTTTGAATTTGCTAGATATCTGGATTATTTTACTATAAAAATAGTTTGGATCCAAACATAGGAGGCTGAACTTTATTTACTAAGAAAATTGATCAATGGTCAGAAATCAATTTTCATTCTCTTAATAGTGAAATGAACAGATAACCTGCTATTTACCTTGCTTGCTTAAAAAGAACCATGCTAATTACACATTGCCTTGATTTCATTAAACACTGCTATAATACAAGATAGTGAGCTGTGTTAGTGGGGACATGATCTTCATTCATTTAAAGAAAAAAGTATGAGCTGAATATTGACTGTCCTTTCATTGAAAGCTTATCTTACCATCAGAGCTTCACGTAAAATGTAGGCAATTATAAGTTCATTCATCCTTTCGCCTCTCTTCAGAAATCCTTTCACAAGATCAGTCACAGATCCACCATTGCACAGCTACAAAACATAAAGGGAATATAAAAAGGAATTAACGAGTGTTGGAGCAGCCACCTGGTTTTCATTTTCAGTATTTTTTTTGTATCTGTAGCCAAATGAGATTCTACTAAACTGAAAAGCCACATATTTGTCCTTAAGTCTACTATTTATACAAACAACATACACAGCAATTTTTGCCAATTATTTTTCACTACTTTCTGCATTTATTCTTCTTGTCCAAACACAAGTATAGTAGTGTATCTCTTTGTTTTCCAATATCCATGATTGCTTTTCACTGAAACAGAAGTAGATTACAATGCAATAAATTAGCTGTGAAGACATGTTTTGTGGGGCATACAAATTGCTTCTTATATTAATCTTGTGGAACTCACTACCAATGCAGATTATTACAGCATCAATTCTCAGGTACAAAAGCTATGTACAGTAAAAAATGGATTTAAGGCATCAGAAGACAGGCAGCAGAGAAATTTCACCAGCATGAAACCTACCAAGGGTAAAGCTGCCCTTTTTGCCAAGCAACACTTAATTCCTAGCATAGGGAGAAGTGATACACAAATCATGGGCATTGTGGAATATGATGAAAACACTGTGGAAAGAAAGGTCTCCCACTGAAACAAGGTGTGCTGTGGGTGTAGAATTAATTATAGCCCTTTTTGCATCAACTCTGTCAGCTCCTTGTTCCAGATGTAGAGTCACATCTGCTCTGGACAATGCTCTGCCACTCTCCAGAGGAGAGAGCCCAGCCAGACTCCTGCAAAGCCCTGTCCTGTCCCATTTATGTGGGGAGAAGAGACCTGGCCTTGCTCTCTAGAAATAATAGTGAGCACACATTACATTGGTTTAGACTGCAGTACTTCTTATGTTCATTTTTATAATTTACAATTTTTCTGCTGGAGGAAGCAACAATGTAACTTTAGTGGGTACCTACTACTGTAGGAGTTACACATCTGCAAAGATGAAATAAGCCCTTGAACTATCCATAATGCACCTGACAATACTCATTGATTGAAGAGCCTCTGTAAAGGAGTAGGTGATTCCAATAAAATAGTATAATAAACTTTAATTCTTACACAGTATTATCATCTAATAGCTTTTCACATGAAACTAAATTTCCATGTAAGATATTTTAACAATGAGGCACAAAACAGCAATTCCTTTGCACTACATTTGAAGTATATTCAAATCAAGAACATCATTTACCAGAAAAACCTTTCAACTGTGGAATTCTAGACATCAGATTCTTTTGTATATGTGTGTTTTTCATCTGTTCTTCTTTACCCCTTCATTTTTTTTTTCTGTGCTGGAATTAAAAAAAAGACTTGCACCTTACAGTAAAAAGCATGTTTTATCCCTTTGTACCCAAAGATAACAATAATTCTCAGACTACCTTTGAAACCCCTAGGCTGCACTGAACTTGGACCACAGAAATGCCTACAGAAATGCCATTCAATACATAACTCTTGTTGCAAGATGTGTCCCCCACCAGGACAGCAAAGCTCTGGTCTGACAGGGGCTGAGCTCTATGGCAACTGTCTTGGAACTCACTTAACCTCACCCTTACCTAAGTGGGACAATATGCATGCTTAGAGAGGGAAGAACTCATATGCTTAAATGATGGGATTAAATGCTTTGCTGGATAAGGATAAGATTCCCAAGCAGGATTTCATTTATTGTCATTAGCATGCTGGTCTGCCTTCTACACTGACTTTTTCTAGTTATTTTTTCACAATGACATTTTATTTTCGGGGTTTCTATCATTTTAACTTTGGCACATCACCGAAATACTTAATCAAATCAAAAGGATTATAACAATTCTGGTTAATTTAAAGCTCTTAAATCCAGAGCACTGAAACTGTCTGACAAATAACAAACCAATTGTGAAATACTTTACACGTATGATATTGTTCAAATTATTTTTCTTCATTATCTCATATTATATTTTGCTTCTTACAGATAGATCTTTTTTCTTTACAGAGTTGTATACCCCTTCGATGTAAAGAAAAGCAATGCAGAAAGGAATATATTCTTTTGGTAGGCAGAAGAAGGGAAAAACTACACATCAGAAATCACCCTCTTTAATGCTTAGGCAGTAAAGCCAATACTGGCCTTATTTGCCTGGGTCAGCTATGTTAATTTTCCCTTCAACATGTTGCTGTAACTAATTTTCCTACTACTCTCATAAGATATAAATCCTCATTATGAGATAAATATCTGCATTGAAAGATAAAACTTACTTAAAATATCAGGTAATATAAGATACTAAAACTGTGATTATTTTAGACCAAGCAAAAACTGAACCTGACTATGTAAAAGGCCAGCTAAACAGGTCTTGAAATAAAGAACCCAGAAGTCAGCCCTACCACCATGGAAACCCTCCACCAACTCCCAAGCCAGGGTGGCTGCTTACACCTACTTATCAGCTGATGATGTTATAGACACAGGTTCTTGAACACACACAGGACAACTTTTCTTTTGTTCCTTCTATGCCAAAGAGCTGTACTTTCACTTACATCAGACAATAAATATTTTTCTGAGACTGCCAGCATAGGAGGAAGAGCTGGGAAAAGGCTGGGTATTAGAATGCAAGCAGATATAAGGAGGAAAAGGGATTATTGGAATACCGCCACAATTAGAAAAGGAGATTATGGCAGACACTGGCTGTGTGTGCTCTACGCTGTGTGGGTGGGAGGAGGAACGATGACGACAATGATGACACAGGTTAGTATTAACTTTGTTCTATTTTTATCATCATGGGTAAAATCTTGTATATCTGCCCTAATTCCCTGTCTCTACTGTGCATTTTTTGGAGGTGAAGCTGCCACATGTCCCTAATCCTGCACATAACTAAACCTGAAATGATGATTCTTTCTCCTGACTCAGGTTATCAAGCTGCATGTGTACTCAATCCAGAGGAATCATACACACCTCAAAAAGCCCCTCTTCTAACGAGTCCGGCTCTTCTCTTCTATCTCAAAACAAGAAGCTACAGAAAGTTACAGTACTCCTGCCCAATATGGTGATGCACCACGCTTGCTTGGGAATTTAAGTAGAAAGGAAATAAATTATCCTTGGGGATGTTGATCAAGGTCTAGTCCATAGAAACTTAGGAGTAAAAAACCCTAAATTATTTAAAAAATCACATAACCTTGATTTATACAATCCTTTAATGAGAGATTATGGGATAAACGTTATTTAGCAGTACTGCTAGACAGAAAGTTTCCTGGGGTGTTGTTAAATATTGCAGCTTATAATTACGATATCTGCTGCTTCTTAGTAGCATGCTGTCCACAGTAAAAACACTGTTAAGCCTCTTAGCAAAGCTGCTCAGTTCAAGTTAAGTCAACTGAAATGCTTGGATGACAAGAAATCATGAAGGCAACAGAGATAATTTTTTTAAAAGATCTTTCCAGTTTTCAGTGAAGCATCTAGAGAAGGGAGGTGCTGGTAGCTATTACTTTATTTCAAACATTGCGAACTTACGTGACCAAATAGCTGATCAGCCTGTGACATTTGCTCTACAGCATTTGGTAAAACCTCCTCAGAACAACTTGATGGGGACTAAGCAAAGAACAACAAATGCACAGAGAACTTGGAACAGCATACAGCAGGAGCTACGTGTCTGAGCTCTGCCCCAGGGTAGGGCTGCTCCCTATCCTAAAGGTCAAAGCAACTCTCCAAATCCAATGACCTTTCACCTGTCATGAGACATGACCTCTTCTGGGAGGAGAGGATCATAACTCTATTTTTCTGCCTCACACTAGAAACCCTCACACATTCACACACATTCTCTTGCATACACAGAAACATTTATTGTGGTTTATATCAGCTGAAAGCCCCCATTTAGCTTTGAATATATTCAGCTTAAAGGGACAAACTCTTGGAATGTCCAGCCTGTGAGACACAGGAAGGGAAGATATTCGTGATTGTCCCACAGAGAAGTAACTTAGAAATTTCAGAACTTTGCACATGGGCAATTTCCATCAAATTAATATTAGTCACTTATTCTATTGTCCCCTTGATTTAGAGGTATTTTCCTTACCAGCAGTTTTTTTTAGTGCCTGCATTGACAGAATGCAAATATTATGTGCAAAAACAAGCAACTAAAAGGAGGGTAAACTGAGCCTTGAGGCTACCTAAAATGGAGTGGAGAAGACAGAGACAGAATCTTCCTACTGTCACACAGCAAAGGATGAGCAGCAAAAACACCCCACTGCAAGACAAGAGATTCCTACTGGACATAAATGAAAAATTTTCCCACTCAGTGGGAGAGATTTACACAGTGAGTCTGTGTTACGTCCATCCCTGGAGATATTCAAACTTAACTTGAAAAGACAAACCTGTAACATTTCAGTTAATAGCCTTTGAGCAAGGGGATGCTTCCAATAACTTCCAACCTCCATGCTGTACTTTTATATGGTTCAGAATATATGAATTTTATAATGTTCAATTCCTAGTCTGGATTTTCAGACAGTAGAAAGAGTGGGAAAGAATGAAGGAAATCTTGCATACTTAAACCAATGGAAAGAAAAGTTTAATGGAAAGCTTGATTCATATAAAAATCTGCCTTAAAGAGCTGTAGCTCTGATGGCCATGCATAGCTGTACCAAAAGAGGTGCTTAGGAATCTTCTACAGTGGTACAAAAGAGCTCCTCCCTTATGATTTTCTGGCACTCAAAAAGGCAAAGACTCATACTGGGATGACATGCAGCTCTCCACCCACCCATCTGCCACAACCATGTGCCACTGTAATTGAGCTATTAGTATGCTAAGCTATCTTCAGAAAAAAAAAAAATAGAAAAGTATGATCCTAAGCCCATGAAATATCACTTAAAATTGCCATCACATCACAGTCATGTAGATGCTCTTTTTAGGTCTTAGTCACTCTTCACCTGACCCAGTTACACATTTCTCCTCTTCAGCTCCTCTCGATTCTGATGCCCCTTGAAGATTCAGTATCAGCTCCCCTTTTAAGAAAATCATCAGTTGCACTTTTGCTAGGG